GAGCTCGCTCGCGATCGTCCGACATGGAGGAGAACAGTGAAGACGGGCGCTGCTATCTATGAAGCCAACCGAATCGCGGCCGCCAAAGCGAAACGCGAAGTCCGCAAATCACAAATTCGCCCAGTCCGCAACGCCACCGCACAACCACCCCCAACGTGTCCTCGATGTCAACGGACATTCCGGGCACGAATCGGACTTGTTGGACATCTCCGAACCAACTGCACCTGTCGAACTCCAGCCATCGTCCCCCCGCCCGCCTCTTCCTCCTCCCTTCCGCCAACTAACTCTGACACTCCTTCTGCACCACCAATTCCATCCTTCTCGTCCTCCTCCCTCTCCACTGCCCCAGCGGCGGCCGTGCAGACTGCTGTCTCACACAACACCAACACCAACACACCAACAAACATCACCTCTCCCACCTCTCCCGATACCACTGATGAGGATCAGGACTACACCTGCCCTCACTGTGACCGCACCTTCACCTCACACATCGGCCTGGTCGGTCACTTGCGAATCCATCGCACAGAGACTGGCGAACCAGTGCCTGGAGCACCAACCTACACCCGCCGCGCTCGCCTCCACTGCCCACAATGCCCTCGCACCTTCACTCATCGCATGGGTCTATTCGGCCACATGCACATCCACGAGAGCGGAATTGACCGCAGCCTTGACACATCCACCCCGCCGAGCCCCACTCCCAATCCACCACCTTGTGCACCCACTAACCACTCCCCAGCCGACATCGACGCCACCGACCTTACCACCGCTCACTCCTCCCCTTTCTCCTCCTCTTCCTCCTTCACTGCCACAACGACGGCCGCTTCGGCGTCTGTCGCCCACGACTTCACCACAGCCGAACCTGACACAACAACCGGCACAACCCCTGCAACACAAACACACACACACACACACACACACACGATTGTTCGACCGTCGCATCCGACGTTGTCCACCGTATGCCCCAGAGCTGCAGCAGCGGTGGGAGCAGGGATGTTGACTTGCGCAGCGGTTTATAGTGCCAGTAGACTTGCGTAGCATCTGCCTACGCTCTCTCCTCCTCCCCCGCCTGGGCCCGGTGTCAAGACAGAGTCAAGAGTACCAGAGAGGAGGGAGGCTGCAGGTTGATTTTTTTGGACGGATCCACTCTCACACGCACACGCACACACACGACTTTTCAACCGTTTCTTCCGACGTCGTCCACCGTACGTCCCAAAGCAGCGAGAGGTCAGAGATGCTGGCTTGCGTTTGCTTTTGTTTGTAGTGATGGAAGGCTGGCGTTGCATCTATCACACTCTTTTCTCCTCCGCAACTGCACCCGGCGTCAATACAGATTCAAGAAGACCGGAGGTGGTAGAGGGTGCAGGCAGATGGCACGGTCGAGCCCGCACCATGTCGTCCGCCCCACAACCCCTTGTCCACATTACAAATAACCAGTTTTTTTTACCAACAACAGCAGAGAGAGCGGAGGCTGGCATGGCCGAAGCTGCACCTAGGCGTGCGCCACACCCGGCTCGGATCCCACGCAGTGACATTGCCATAGATGCCACACTAAGAAGTAGCCATTGCAGCCTGACTCACAGACCACCAGCCAGCCAAGCCGCCAAACAGAGCCTAGTTTCGGCGAGCGACATGTAAGATTTCGAAGTCAGCAAGCGGTCGTTAGGCGTAGTTTGCATTTGAAAGCAAGTTATCGACCCGGTACGACAGCCACGTGGACCAGTAACTGGCCACACCTGCTCTCCGAGATTTTGTTTAATGGTCTGTTCATCGACCTTATGGGACTGGCTTTGTGTGAGGCGATGAGATGAGCGATGCAATTCAAGTGTAAGGAACTCCCGCGCGCCTAATTACGGTTTACCGATGTCAGTTTTCGCATAATCATGTTGCAGTGTGAGTAGCAGGATTTCAATTATCTGCAGTATGTCAGTATGCGAATCACAAACAATTAGAAAACGTTACTGAAAAATAGGCAGTAATATTAAAACGGTAATTAATTGTTACCACGAAGCGTGCGGACGATAATGGTCGTGTGGCATTATGAAGTGTAATTGGGTACCGAACCAGCTTTATCTTAAATGATCTGACGACTGAGGACATAACAATATCTGCAAGCAGGAGGAATGGGCCTCTGTTTCGCATGCTCCTCATCATGTTACCGTGGAATAAATTCTGCTTCCCTATAAGCCGGTTCGACAGGCCTTTCTCGAAAACATATAGAGTCCTGAGGATTATTCGATAAACTGGTTTTCTCTGTATGCATTCATCGACGCAGGCGGGGAGTAGGCGTGTCAGCGGTGGGTTCACGTAATGGTCGTGGTGGTCGCTCACTTGCTTGCAGGTGAGACTGCGCCTAGCGTACACTTGCTGGCACTCAACTCTCACATGTGGCTCCACATAGCTGGGCTCTGCTCAGCGGCCACACCCCGGGCAACCGTCTCGACCGGCGGGCTAAACCAGGTGAGGGTGCCCTGTGCGCTGTGCCGTGTCCGAAGTGTTTGCGGATTCCGCTGGATGGAAGGTCGGATGGAACCTTGCGTCGGCATCGTCGTGACGTGGTTCGTCTCTGCACGCCGCTGGACAGCCGGTGACGGGATGGATCTCCACATCGACATCGCCTTGACGCGCACACCTAGGCCGTCGTAGACCGCGGCTTACGGCGAATTCGAGTCGCTCTCCACTACAACGCGAAGTCGTGGTCCCATAGTGGAGTTCGGCCGTGCCACAACGGCACATGGCAGCCCTATTCAGGGATGGCACTGCCAACCCCCACGAGGGGAAGGGCCTAGAAAAGGTGGCCTAACCATCGCTGGCCACCACGCCGTCTTCAGGCAAGCCAGGGCCGCAGTCGTCTAAAAATGGTCGAAACAATCAAAATCGAAACAACAACAACAATACTCGTTCACCTCCTCATCCTAACTCTTCTTTCTCTTCCTCTGCCTATTCTTCTGCTAATAATTCTCCTTCGCCATCTTCTTCTCCACCTCCTTCTCGTCGCCCCACTCGTTGTCACCAGACTGGCAGGGTGAGTCCGCTCACTCTGGCAGCCTGGAATGTTCGTTCAATTATAGACAACCCGAGGAGCAACCGTCCGAAACGGAGGACGGCGCTATTGGCACGAGAACTGGCGCGCTAAAAGTTGGACATCGCCGCACTCAGCGAGACCCGATTCTCCGAACAAGACCAACTGGAGGATGCGGGTGCCGGCTACACCTTCTTCTGGAGTGATCGACCCAGGGCTGAGTGACGTGACGCGGGTGTCGCCTTCGCCATCCGGACCGACATCGTGGGACGACTGCCCTGTTTGCCGCAGGGCATCAACGATCGGCTGATGAGCCTCCGTCTGCCTCTCCAGATCGGGGGTAGGGGCGAATTCGCCACCATCATCAGCGCCTACGCTCCGCTGATGAGCTGCCCGATGCCGCCGCAAGAGACAAATTCTACGAGGACCTGCACGCCCTCTTGGCGACTGTGTCGAAGGCGGACAAGTTGACTGACCTTGGTGACTTCAACGCCCGCGTCGGCACAGACCATACTGCCTGGAGAGGAGTGCTGGGTCCCCACGGTCTCCACGGCTCCAACGAAAACGGCCTGCTGCTTCTCCGCTACTGCGCAGAACACCGCCTCATCCTGACGAACACGATCTTCTGTCTGTCGGAGCGAGAGAAGGCCACCTGGAGGCGTCCTCGGTCGCGTCAGTGGCACCTGCTGGACTATGTCCTCGTTCGGAGGCGAGATCAGCGGGACGTGCTGGTGACGAAGGCGATCGCGGGTGCTGACGGGTGGACCGACCATCGCCTCGTCATCTCAAAGATGCGTATTAGCCTACAGCCTCGCAGGAGACCACAAGGTAAGCGACCCCCCCCACCCCCAGGTAAGCTGAAAGTTGACTTGTTGTCTTTGCACGCTTACCATCTCTATTTCAGCAATGAGTTAACTCAACGGCTAGACAACCTTCCATTCGCTGCCGCCGACGACGCCGCCGCTACCACTGCCGAGAACGCCTCTGTGGAGAACCGCTGGTGTCAATTGCGAGACGCGGTCCAGGCGTCGGCGCTGACCGTAGTTGGTCGCGCTCCCCGCCAACACCAGGACTGGTTCAACGACAACGACGCCGCCATCAGAAATATGCTTGCTGAGAAGAGCCGCCTCCACAAAGCCTACGTAGATCACCCCACTGAGGATAACAAAGCTGCCTACTACCCTAGTCGCCGCCAACTGCCCCAACGTCTGCGCGAGATTCAGGACGCCTGGACTGCTCGCAAAGCTGAGGAGATCCAATGCTACGCGGACCGCAACGAATGGAAGAACTTCTTCTCCGCGATCAAAGCTGTCTACGGTCCGCCGACGATGGACACTGCTCCTCTCCTCAGCGCTGACGGCAACACTCTCCTGACTGAGAAGACGCAAATCCTGTAGCGATGGGCCGAGCATTTCCGAGGCGTCCTCAACCGCCCCTCCACCATCTCCGACGCCGCCATCGAGAGTTTGCCGAAAGTGGAGACCAGCGTGAACCTCGAACTCCCGCCATCTCTCCAGGAGACCATCAGGGCCGTGCGGCAACTCTCCAGTGGGAAAGTACCCGAATCGGTCGCAATCCCTGCTGAGGTCTACAAGCACGGTGGTCCCCAACTGATGGATCACCGTACTGCGCTCTTCCAGGAGATGTGGCGTCAAGGCGAAGTCCCGCAAGATTTCAAAGACGCAACAATCGTGCACCTATACAAGCGAAAAGGGAATCGTCAAGTCTGCGACAATCACCGTGGCATTTCCTTGCTGAACATCGCCGGGAAGATCTTTGTGCGAATCCTCCTCAACCGTCTCAATAACCATCTGGAACAGGGCCTTCTGCCTGAAAGCCAGTGCGTCTTCCGTCGTCATCGTGGGACCACGGATATGATCTTCGCCGCCCGTCAACTTCAGGAGAAGTGTCAGGAAATGCGGACTCACCTGTACTCCACCTTCGTGGACCTGACGAAAGCCTTCGACACGGTGAATCGTGAAGGACTGTGGAATATTACGCAGAAATTCGGCTGTTCTGAGCGATTCACACAGATGGTGCGTCAGCTGCACGACGGTATGATGGCGCGAGTCACGGACAACGGAGCTGTCTCAGAGGCATTCGCAGTGACCAACGGAGTGAAGCAGGGATGCGTGCTGGCACCAACCCTCTTCAGTCTTATGTTCTCTGCCATGCTGATGGACGCCTACCGCGACGAACGCCCTGGAATCCGCATCGCCTACAGAACGGACGGTCATCTCCTGAATCAACGGCGCATGAACTTCCAATCGCGCGTATCCACAACCACCGTTCACGAACTCCTCTTCGCCGACGACTGCGCCCTGAACACCACCTCGGAAGAGGAGATGCAACGGAGCATGGACCTGTTCTCCGCCGTCTGCGAGAACTTCGTTCTGGTCATTAACAAGCAGAAGACGGTGGTGATGCACCAACCGCCACCTAACTCAGCCACAGCTCACAACGCGCCGCCGCAAATCAGTGTGACCGGAACCCAACTGCAAGTGGTGGAGAACTTCCCGTCGCTACTGTATGGAGCGGAGACTTGGAAGGGGTACGCAAATCAGGCACGCCGACTGAACCAATTCTACGTCAGTTGTCTTCGTCGCATCCTGAGGCTGTACTGGCCGGATCGAATCCCGACACTGATGTGCTGGAACGGACGGGAATTCTCAGCATCTACGCCATACTGAGACATATGTAGCTGCGCTGGAGCGGCCACCTGGTGCGCATGGACGACGAGCGACTACCCAAACGACTCTTCTACGGAGACGTCGCGACGGGTTCTCGCCGTCAAGGAGGCCAAATTCGCCGTTACAAGGATACTCTGAAGTCCTCCCTGAAGCGCCTGCAAATCAACCCGACCAACTGGGAAGAGCTCGCTCGCGATCGTCCGACATGGAGGAGAACAGTGAAGACGGGCGCTGCTATCTATGAAGCCAACCGAATCGCGGCCGCCAAAGCGAAACGCGAAGTCCGCAAATCACAAATTCGCCCAGTCCGCAACGCCACCGCACAACCACTCCCAACGTGTCCTCGATGTCAACGGACATTCCGGGCACGAATCGGACTTGTTGGATATCTTAGGATCAACTGCGCCTCTCGAACTGCACCAACCATCGTCCCCCGCCCGCCTCTTCCTCCTGCTCTCCGCCGCCAACAATCTGTGACAATTCTTCCGACCCACCACTTTCATCCTCCTCCTCCTCCTCCTCCTCCTCCTCCTCCTCCTCCCCCGCCTTCACTACCCCAATGGCGGCTGCTCAGGCGACCGTCTCGCACATCGCCAACCGTGACACAACAACAGACACCACCCCCACCTCTCCCGACTCCAGTGATGAGGATCAGGAATACACCTGCCCTCACTGCGTCCGCACCTTCACCTTACACATCGGCCTGGTCGGCCGCCTGCGAATCCATCGCACAGAGTCTGACGAACCAGTGCCTGGAGCACCAACCTACACCCGCCGCACTCGCCTCCACTGCCCACACTGCCCCCACACCTTCAGGCATCGCATGGGTCTCTTCGGCCACATGCGCATCCACGACGACCTCCGGTAGACAACCGCCGATCACACCACACATTCACTCACTCCCTACCTCCTCTACCACCACCAACACCACCACCACCACCACCCCACCACACATCAACACTCCCACACCTCATGCACCCGACTGCCACCTCCCACGCAAATGGGAAGTCCGCATCTCGACACGGTCCCCAAGCGGCTTCGGCTGCACGGGTGACTTGAGTCCGAGACTGTCCCGAGACGTCAAGTGTCGTCGATAGGAAGGTTGCTGATTGACGCCCGCTCTCGGTTCACGCAGTTCGTCGCGTTGTGTGTGTTTGCTGTGTGGAGTGGCCGACTGGTGGGCTGGGGACGGGCTGAAGCAGCACCTTCCACGGCCCTCTCACGCAAGTGAGAGACACGCCGTTCAACCCCCCTTGTGTGAAATCCTGGCGTTTGTGTGTGTAAGGGGGGCCATGTCGTGCCGTGGCGCGCGCAGTCATGGTCAGTCGACCATGACAGCCACCGCACCCATGTCCCACTCCAGTCTGCTGACCGGCTCGGACAGCGGCTGGGGTGTGGGAGTGGGAAGGGCGAGTGAGTTCGACGACTCAGCGCACTTTCTCCTCACAATAAACAATCTGACGTGCTTGAAGCTATCACGGTGCGCTAAAAGCCGTGGATTGGAAGGTTGCCAAATGACGGGGTACCTTGGACCTCCTCCTTCACGGGAGGCGGTCTGATTGTCAGGCTGCAATGGTTTATTTTTAATATGGCCTTGATGGCACTCCCATCACAGTGTGGGATCCGATCCAGGCGTTGGCGGCACGCCCAGGTGCGGCTTCGGTCGTGCCAGCCTCCAAATCTCTGTTGTGTAGGTTGAAATCCTGGTCATTTGTTGTGTGGACCAGGGGGTGTGGTGGAACACCAAGGTGAGGATCTGTCCGAGCCAACCACCTGCGGCCTCCCTCGTCTCCGGTCTTCTCGACTCTTTCTTGACACCGGACTCGTGCGAGGGAGGAAGAGAGTGTGTACGTAGATGCTACGCAGGTCTACCGGCACAATAAACCCCTGCGCAAGTCACCGTCCCTGCTCCCACCTGGTGTGGGGCACGCGGGGGACATCATCGAAACCGATGGTCGAACTGTCATCGACGCAGACTTCCTATGGCGTTTTAGCAGCCTTGTGGCACTGCAGCGTTGGTTTCAGATTGTTCTGTATCCAAACCCCGAGATCCTTCTGTGAAGATTCTGCGGGGAGTCTTATATCTTTCAGATGATATGTCCTTGGGCTCTCATTTGAATGAGAGTTAGGTGGACGCATATGGAGGACGGCACACTTCTGCACATTGAAGTCTTGAAGCCATTTCTCCGACAACGCTTGCAGTCGATGAAGATTGTTTTAGAGGGATCTCTGGTCGTTAGGACTCTTAATGACTTGCCAGAGCTTAACGTCGTCAGCAAACATTATTTTGTCAAAGGTGGTGTATGAAATTCTTCCATGGTCAAGACGTCAAACCAAACAGCAAATCTTATGACGGGCGTCAGCCATGGGACCACTTCTTGGCATTCGATAGACTGTCAGGTCTGTAAGGCTGGATTAACCAGGCACTTTAATAGTAAATCAAGTTGTTTCCAAAGTAACCGAAAATTTATCTGTTTTGTCTGAATGCATTAGTCCGCTCTTTGCGTACATGAGCGCGCCTTCTCTCTTTCTCTCTGATGTCCTGGTCTGCCACTTCTAAACAGTTGGTGTCGGGGCATTGTTAACTTACGGCCGTTCACACGTTGGAACACAATGAGGTTCCTGTCAGTGAAATTACGTCTGGAGACAGATCAGAGAGATGGCTCTTTAGCGCATCAGGTAGTGATGCGGTTCTAACCTTCGTCAACAGCGTCAGCTACGCGGTCATCCGTATCGGACGCCTCCAAATTGAGAATGCCAGGCGATGCCTGACTTAGTTGTTGCAGATGACACTGTTGGGAGACGCTGTTCTATCTGACTCATTCCCATGCCGCTCTAACGATGAGCGCACATACCGTCCTATCGATCCGCCCACGTGGCGTGTGCTTGTTGAGATCGGCCGGCCGACGGCCGGATTGGAGGGGCGCTCAGCCACTCAGATGAGTCAGCAGACCGGTCGACATGCTAAGATGTCAAGGGCATGGTCTGATTGGCTCAAGTGCACGCTGCCCTCAGACATCCTATATCTACCCTTTATCATCAGATTTTGCCGTTAGGAGTTCGGCCATAGACGCGTGTTGTTCACCCTTGCTGTTGAGTTCTCTTTTGGGTATTCGATTGCGAAGATTTGTAGGCCGGTCAACTGTTAATCGTTACGGCTGGAACATAACAGACATTACAGTCTGTCTGCTGGCTTTTAGTCTGTATGGAAAAAACTCAGTGTCTGGAGTCTTTTATCCTAAGACTTCCAGAGAGAATCGACCTGGTTAGCTCTCTTCAATCTAACAAATGTTTGAGAGGTCTGGGGTGTTGAATCTGACTGATTGTTTACTCGTCTTCCAAGACGGAAGGTTTTCAGCACTTCAATTGCCTCAATGGGTTCCAACATATTATAAATCAGACCTTCGAAGGGCGTTTGATCTTCTGAAATCCACTCCTTGGGAGTGTTAGCGTTCGATGTGGAAACTCCCGAATAAAGAGACGTTCCTCCCTGACTACTTCACTCGTATTTTCTGTTGATGCGTCGTTCTCAACAACGGAACAGCTGTTCTTTCGCAGTTATGTTGTTTGATCCCTGATTTGACCGACTTGTCAGAAACCGTTGACATGGACGGCTGCGAACTATGGTCTGCGGATTCGATGATTGCGCAGATATTGTAGAGGAGTGCTCAAATGTTCAATCCCACTCCCCCCATCAAGATGGTTGAACTCGATGGCTTACACCTGGCATCCACTGCAGATCTTGCTTCCATGGGGATCGCCTATACAGTCGATGAGATGCACCGCGGTCCTAGTAAAGTGGCCGATCGGTCTGCGCCGTCGGCCGGTATACCGGTGATTGGCGGATGAAGTCGATCTTGTGGGGCATCTTCCGGGGAGAAGGGGGAGGCGGGGTGGTGAAGAATTCTATCATGCTCTTCAAAGTCATGTAGAAAGGAAAATCTACAGAGATGACGCTTTTCTATGGAGCCAACTTAGGCGTCATCTCCTTAAGTAGAGTTTGCCGAAATAACTCGACAGTGCATAGCCTGGTGGACTTTTTTAGCCTCTACGCAGTGGCAGTGTGTACTCAGCGCGTTACAATCATCCGGTCAAACCCCGAGGCAGAATTCATCAGAGTGAGGGGTTTATTGTACACAGAATTCGGAGTTGTCCTCTGAGGCGGGAGTGGCCACTGGCGAAGCCAGGGTTGGTGTTGACTGCGTCCAGTCGTGCCGGAGAGTCCGTGAGA